TATATATATATATATATATATATATATATATATATACATAAATAAAACTCTATATTGTACTCTACAGGGAGAGCCTCTGTAGGTGTTGGGTCGATTCTCACTATCTATTTTTCTTTTTGCCTTTTATGGTTAGTTATAGTTATATTATGATATTTTTCATAGTAGATCAATAACAAATAACATAAAAGTTAGTAAATAAAATATAGAGAGATATTTATAAAGTCTTTTCTTCGTAAATTATAAGTAGTTCATGTAATAGAATTTTTTGTTCATAAAATTATGCATGTACAAAAATGCATTTTAGTAACTTAATTTTTTTTATCGGTGCTATTTTATAAAGCAAATTAAAGGCAAAGGTAAACGTGCCTTCCATTTCTATTTTATATAATATATATCCTTTTTTGTCTCTCAAAATTCTAGGTTCCTGAAAGGGACCTTAGCGTTCATTCTCATCATCTCTGAGGAACAAATTTTCTAACTTTACAGGAGGTAAAATTTTCCTAATAACAAAATTCAATCGTGAAAATTTTCTATTTTGTTTGAATTGGTGTTTATTTGCTTTTAATTGTGTGAGATTATTCTTTTTCTGATTGTTATAAGTAATTTGTTTGAAGTGCAATTTTTTCTGGTGCTCTAGGGCTTTTTTCTTATACCGAATTTAAATACGTGAAATTTCACAGTTTGTTCTGTGTCAAAGTTTGCATTTTTATGGGATTTACTTTTGTTTGAGAAAATTAAAGTTTCATTTTTTATTTGTCCATTCACAGATTTAAAATACCCATATGATGATATTGTTGAATTAAGAAATCCCCATATAAGAAATTTGCATTTTTTGGATGTTATTTTTGTTGAATTAAGAGTTTATTTTAGAAAGAAAATATTTATTGTCTATTCATTAGTTATAAAGTTTTCTTTTTTATGGTTATAGAGGAAGCTAATTTGTGTGATGAGATTAAAATTTAAATCTGGCTATTTTTGGGTGCTTAAGGTTTTGAGAATGGATGAGGTCATGAAAACAGAGGATCATTTGACATCACCTGCAGCTTTTGTGGAAGGTGGAATTCAAGATGCCTGTGATGATTCTTGCAGCATTTGCCTCGAGGCTTTCTGCGAAAGCGATCCTTCTACGGTGAATACTAGTGACATTTCGCGTATTGTTAAATGTTTAACATAGCAATGTTTTGATGCTTCAATTTTTTTTATAATGACGTGCTAATGCTTAAGATATGTGTTTTTTTCTTTCTAATAGGTAACTAGCTGCAATCATGAGTTTCATCTCCAATGTGTCCTGGAATGGTACGTAGATGCAAAAGTTTTGTTTACACTATCTTTGCTGTTTTCGACAGTGTTTAGGCAAATAGATTGATATTGTGTATCTTGTTTTTTTCCTTTATGTGTGTGTGTTTNGCTAGTTCCAAAATGAGCCAGGGAAAGTAGATGGCTTGCTAACTCATTTGAGCAAATTATGTCAATGTTACCTAACAAGGGAGAAGTGTATTGTGTATACACACACGCGCTATACAATGAACAAGGGAGAACAATATAATCTGACAAAAGAATAGGAGTGGTCTTTGAAACGTGATAGGTGGAACTAGATGTCAGTGAGTCTGTTGGTGGTTGTTAATGTTATTTCTATGTGGCATTGGCTTTCTGTTATTTACAACCATCTTTTAGTAGTTACTCAATGCCATAGATTCTCTAGCACATAGTTTTTTTGCACCAGCTTCATTTAGGATTTTGTCTTGCTTTCAGAAAACAAAAGGCATAGACTATGCACTCAAACAATGAGCCCAAAGCAATCCTATGGACTTGTTTTTTT